TTGTACCTTAATAGCAGAAATCACAACATAACTACCGAGATGAATTAAAATGTGATCGGATTCTGGGATACCAAGATGCCTGACCTGAGGGAACACACAATTTAGTGCAACAGAAAAAGTAGTTTATGTACTCAAACACTTGTTTTCTCACTTGATCCCCACCACAAGCCTCTGAGATAGGGAGGGCTGTTTCTGAGATCCTCATTTGAGAAACAAGAAGTGTGAGGCCAACTTGGGCACAGTGCTCATGTAGAATTGATTTACCTTGACTTCTTTCAGATCTGTGGGATGTCTGATTCTTTTGTAAAAACACAGTTTTGCCAGCCAGACTGGAAACTCTCTGTTTTTTTCATCAAAAATCTTGGGCTCTCTCCCTAGAGATCTTCTCCGGCAAGGACTTTTTTCCTCTTTAACTTTAGTTCTTGCATTCCATATGTAAGGAAAGTTCAACCAGTTAGGAAAAAGTCACTGGAGAAGAAAGGCTCTAATTGTGAGACCAGATGGTAAGCATTATTCAGCTGATGGCGTTGTGTAGATTTGAGGGAAGGTGTGGTAATATGATCTCCGTCTGCAGCTGTGACCTGTTGTTCCAAAGCAGCCTCCTTCCTCCCCACCTTTTACATCTGCATTCCAGCACCTCTCCCTCCATTTTTGTGGGCATCGGAGCCCTCATAGATTGCTTTGACAGATGTAGAAGGAAGAATGAAGCTTGTTCAAGGAAGAGCAACCCACGGATATGTTTTGAATATCCTCCTCCCCATGTTACTTGTAATATTGGAAAATCAGGCAGAATGTAACCACTTTTGTTGAACATACTGAGAGACAGTTTCCCTGGATTTAAATTGCCATGAGCCTATCATGATTACCTTTAGGGCATCTCCATCGGATGTCTTGTAGGTAGCTGAAACTGAACACATACAGAACTGAGATCATCCACTCTCTTCTCCTCACTTCCCCTAATGAAAACATCAGTCAACACTTTCTTCTCTGTTTCCTCCCTCAGCAAAAGATACTACCATCATTCCTTCACCCAGATTGAAAATCTAGGAGTCACTAGACTCTTTAGTCTTTCTCATCCGTCTAACAGAATCTGTCTCCTAAATATTTTCCAATCCTTCTACATCTTTCCCCAGTGCCGCTGGCCCTGGTTCTGGTTTTCATCATTTCTCTTTTGGAATTTGGAAATATCTGATATTTTGCCTTTACCTTGATTATTTTCTTCCTCCACTCTGTCACCAATGTTGTATCTTAAATGAAAATCTGACCAGTCAGGCCATCAAAATTAAAATTTCACAGGAGGAGAGGTGGTTGAAGATCATTATTTCTTTTTTTGTTTTCTGTTTGTATTTTTTTGTTTGTTTTTTTAGAAGACTCAAACTGGCTGAAAGATCATTATTTCTTATAAGTTTTTCAAGCTATTGTAATATGTGACTAGGGCTTGAGAACTGATACTGGAAAAATTTCAAATGTCTTAGCCAGGTATATAAGACTTTTGTGACCTTGGGCATATTATCTTTTGCCACTTCTGTTTCTGACTTTACACTTCTACCTGTAGACAAGTACCTTGTACTTCCTCTTACTTTCATATTGTTGCCTACCATTCCTTGGTGGTCTTGGTCAGTGGGGATTCCTCCACCAGAAATGTGCTAGAAATATACAAACTACCTAAAACACTGTCCCTTCTGAGTGCCATATTATATTCCCCACCTCATTAGGTGTTGAGTTGACCCATGAGAACTTCCAAAATGATTTGGGGCTTCTGTGCTTCCCTGTGTTCCCTCTCTCTTTTCCTTCTTGTTATCTTATCCTCCTCATACCCAACTGCAAGTCCTAGGCATTGCTTATAATCAGGATGGTTTCATTTCAGAGCTTTTTGAAATGCCAGGTCTTCACCATCCAAAACATGCTTTCATGTTCTGCCCTGAAAGAACCTGTCTAGAGCTACACCAGCCTTCATATGTCTGTGGTAGTCAAGTAGATGTGCAGTTTATAGAGGGCTTTTTTAAGTTGTATCTCAATTCGATCCTCATCGTGCCTTGTGGAGTAGGCAGGGCGCTATTACTTCTCCACTTCACAGATGCTGAGATGGAAGGTTTTTTTTTTTTTTTTTTGAACTCTTATCAACCTGTCTTACAGTGTACACTCAACTCTCTACAGATTACATGTTGATCAAGTCCACAACCCACATCTCAACTCCTGTAACTTGATTGAATTACGGTTATTATTGAATTATACTTATTATTAAAGGGGCTTGGGTGTGGTTCATCTTTGTCTTTAGACGCTCAGGAGGAAATCCGTCAGTTGAGCAAACTTGATTTCAGAATATTCATTCACTATGGGTTTCAAGGCTAATCACCTTGGGATTTTCCAGGACTCATTCTTCCCTCTCTGTGGTCCATCCTCATCTTATGGCCAGTTTGATCCTTGACACCTCTGTGAAAGAGAAGGAAAAGAAGAAGAGGGGGAAATTCCATATGATTGGGTTTTAGATGTTGATTTCTGAGGCCTGTGCTGCGAGTCACTGAAATCATTGGATCGAGTCTTGAAGATCCAACCACAGAGTGTTGGGTCTGTGTGGCTGGGCCTAACCATAGTACAAAAAACAGCCCCTTTCGTTGAAGAAGAAGGGAGAGGACTCTGGGTTCCTCAATGAAGTGTCCACATATATTAGCTCCTGTGTCAAGCTGTGGCATTTGCTATTTCCTGTCTCCAACCTAGCAGGGCTCCTTGCATATTTTAGTCAAAAAGTAAGGTTCATGGACTCTTTTTGGAAAGTTCTTGCTCTTTTTGAATTTTAACATTGGAAGAAATTAGGAACAACAAATAACTGTACTTGAATTCTCTCATTTTTGAACTTAGTCAAGCAGCTTGAGCAAGTATTAATATGTGAGAATAAAGATATTTCCTTCTGCCTGGAAGGAGAAAAAGATCATTTTATTTAAAATCTATCTATTGAGATGCTGGTATCTAATCAAGCTCTGAATTTGAGCTCAATTAGAGCTTTGATAAAAGAAAGGGGGAAGGAAACTTGAAAGAATGCTCTCCCATTCATGAAGGGCCTGTGTGTTTTTAGTTTCCAAGTAAATAGAATAATGGGACCGTGCATTTTCCATCCAAGCATTTTCCATCCTGAGAATAATTCCCTTCCTGGCTTCTCAATGAATAATACATTATTTCTGAAACCCAAGAGGCATTCCTTTGATTTTCCTTTATGTTTAGCTTTCTGAGTGATTTTCAAGCAAGGAAATTCAAGGACTTGGAATGAATGCTTTATTAACATTTTTATTGAAGTTCAAATAGCTCTTTGGCTATTATCTCCTGATATTTGAAATATTTTTTTTTCTCTCTAAGGAAAATCTAAGGTATTGTATTTATTAGAAAATGAAGTACCTTGGACAGTCTTCAAAGTGAACAGCAGTTTAAAACCAATACACATTTGAGTTGTAGAACAAAGAGCTTTATGGGGGTACTTTTCTCCTTTATTTTCATTTCACTGCTGAAAAGTTTCAAAAAAGAAAGCTCACATCCAAAAGTGGGCTGTTTGGAGACTAAATCTCATTTGTTTACATTTTGTGACTCTCATTCCTTGAAGCTGGTCCAAACCCATGACCCCAGTCCAAGCCTGCACCCACCAAGGCCAGCGCCATTTACATCTATAGATTCAGAGGTACTTCTGGGGTCACCTCTGTTCCTGCTCTGCCTGTTACATAGCTTGGTTATGTGTATAGGGCCTGTTGGTTGTGACATAAAGGGGCATGATGGTGCCCACCACTCCTGTTGGCACATGTTCTTTCAGTAGGAGATTCCCGGCAGATCCTGGGGGAGGTTTTGATGCCATTTCATAACCTCCTTTTTTCCTGGCATCTAAATGATGCGTGGTTTCAGGAACTAAATAAAATGGAATTAAGAATCTATATTTCTGTTCCTCTTACAGTAAAATCTTAACAATTCAGAATAGTTGAGAAAAGAAAGAGAACAAAGTTGATCTAAACTAGTAGAACATCTGAAGCATAAAATTTCGTTTAAAATATTTATTAGTTTCAAGAAGCAGAGGTATAATGTAATATTAATGTTTTCTGGAGCATGGACTCTGGAGAGTGGACTCTGGAGCCAGCCTCTAAGAGCAAAAACTCTGGGATTTGTCTTCTACCTGCCACTTTTCAGTACCTTGGGCTTTAGCAAGTTATTTAAACCTTCTGGTCTCAGTTTCTTCATCTATACAATGGGGATATTAGTTTCTATGCCATATGACTATTATGAAGATTAAATGAGTTGTTACTGGTAAAGCATATAGAAAAGCACTATATAGGTGATTATTTAATAAAAATAAAACACATATTTTATCATTTGAAATTGCTATTTCCAAATAGGCCATGCTATTGAGCAGGGGAATAACTACTATTATTGTTAATACATACTGAGCGATTATTTTCTTAGGACTCATTTAATCCTTTCAGCAGATCTCATGAGGTAAATATAATCATCTCTATTTTTCAGATGAGAAAACTGAGGTAAGAAAGTAATTTGCCTAAGTTCACCCATGTTATTAAATGACAAAGCAAGGATTTGAGCCCAGGCAACCTGAATCCAGAAACTGTGCCTTAACTAAGCATTAAAGGACATTTATCATTAGTGCTTATCTTTTGCCTAAAAAACCCTTTTTGATATTAAAACCCATGTATTTATAAGAGGTGACGTGTATACCCTGTATCAGTTTTTCATGTTCCAGTTGCTTATCACATTCTTTCGGTTTTGTTCAAAATAATCGTCAATGCCTCATCAATATTTTAGTGGGACCTGAAATAATGACATTTTACTATGTTGATTCTCGTTGCACTTTTTTTCTGATTGTTTTAGAAAATGAACATTTTATTTGCGTTGATTGGTGGTTTCCAGTCTCAGTGTTTTTGTATTGAACTGAAATCCTTTCACTTCTGGCTGCATGTTTCATAATGATATTTTTTCCTTCTCTTTTTTTAAATCCTCCCTATCCCTTGCAGGTGCCTTCATCATCTGCTGGACTCCTGGATTGGTTTTGTTACTGCTAGACGTGTGCTGTCCGCAATGTGATGTTCTGGCCTATGAGAAATTTTTCCTGCTCCTCGCGGAATTCAACTCCGCCATGAACCCCATCATTTACTCCTACCGCGACAAAGAGATGAGCGCCACCTTCAGGCAGATCCTGTGCTGCCAGCGCAGCGAGAGCCCCAGCGGCCCCGCGGAAGGCTCAGACCGCTCAGCTTCCTCCCTCAACCACACCATCTTGGCTGGAGTGCACAGCAACGACCACTCTGTGGTTTAGAAAGGAAGCTAAGATGAGGAGCCCGCCATCCTCCGTTGAAGGATGAACAGCCTCCCCCTACCCAATTGCCAGGGCAAGGTGGGGTGTGCGAGGAGAAAAATAAACTCATGTACTTAAACACTAACTAACCGATGACAGTATTTGTTCCTAGACCCCACGAGACTTGATATGTATTGAAAATTAGCTCATGTGACAACCCTCATCTTGGTCCCCACTCCTTCTAAAAGTAGAAAGCGGAGTTCTTGCAATGGAATTCAAGAATAGACTCCGGAGTGTCCATTTAGATGACGCTAACTAAAAAGATCGTGTGTGGTTTGGTGCAAGTCAGAATAAAATCTGACTAGTTGAATCCACAACTTCATTTACATGCAGGCTTCCCTTTTTTTACTTAAAGGATACATTTCACTTAATAAACATGTTTATGCCTATCAGCATGTTTGTGATGGAGAAGACTGTAGACTGTTTATAAACTACCGTTAATTCCATTTTTTTCCTTATGTAGGAAAACTGTAAATTAGAATTATTTTGTTTAGAAAGCATGCATGTAATGTATGTATGCAGTATGCCTTACTTAAAAAGATAAAAAGGATACTAATTTTAAATCTTCTAGGAAATAGAAGAACCTAGATTTCAAAGCCAGTATTTGTTTAGGTTATGAAGCAAACAATGTTCTAATCACAATATTAACTTTTTATTAAAGTGTTCTAACAGGCGTAAGACAGGGAATGTAAGTTTATTACCAAAAGAATATGTATTCGAATAAAGTCATAGAAGATGAAGTGCAGTAATATCATTCCTCATGTATTTAATATACCCAGGTACATTCTAATCACCAGTACATCAGAGGAAATTTTTTTGTAGCCTGTTTTTCTGAATTATGAAATAATACACACTAATTATAGAAAACTTGAAAAATGCAGAAATGTATAAAAAAGCAAAAAAGATTACTGATAATCATAACCCAGAAGTAACCACCTTTAACATCTCCCCCATATATGTCTATATGTATATTGTATACTTTTTAACATAATTGGGATTATACTGTAAACAGTTTTATAACTAGATTTTTTTTCATTGCAGAATTGCCACATTTCCTATGGCATTAAAAATTTTACAAAAACATAATTTTAATGGCTATATTATATTCCATTTAATGGATGCAACTCAGTTTATTTAACCATTCCCATATTGTTGACTATTTAGGTTATTTTAAATTTTTACTATTATAAAGTTGCAAAAATTTTGTGTACATAAAACGTTGTCTGTATAATTGATTATTTACTTAGGATATATTCCCATGAAGGATTTTTTTAAAAATGTGAAATGTCTGATTACACTTTTACCTTCATAAAAAGGGATTTCCTGCTTTTGCACTGCATGGGTGGCAGTTGTGAGGAAAACCAGTTAAATTGCCTTTTTACAAAAAAAATGCAGTGGTTACTTCAGTCAAGAGTGACTTTTTAATATAGCAAGATGGTCTAGAAACAGTCAACTGTCAAAATAACCAAGGCACTCTAATATATCTAGCAATTCCAAATTTTGTTTGAGGTCCCAGTTATCCAGCTATTGGTAGCCACACCTGCAATGTAGAATTGAAGAAAATGCAAAGAAATCAAACGTGCCAAGTGAATAAATGATTGTCATTTTAAATAGCTTGGGCCCTTCTGTAGCAAATGGGTTGGGTGTGTCCGTACGTGCCTGGCTACTGTGTATTGTCCAGGAATCACCCTGATAGACTGCCTCTATGTTAGGTGATACCTGTTTAATACATTGTCCAGGTAAAATCCGTTTGTCGAAAGAAGTAACGAGTGAAGTAACACGGTCATGAAGCAGGTTGGGGGAGGTCAGGAGAACGTCTAAGAGAAAGAAGTCCAGAAGATGAATGGCTGTCCAGGAAGGAGGAAGTCAGTGCAGGGTCAGTGTCTGAGCGGAGGGCAGACTTATGAAGTCCTCACAGTGAAAGGAGTGTGGGGAACCGGTTAGCAGAAATGTGTTTGCACGTACTTTACACAAAATGCAGAACATTTTATATTGGAAGTCAAATGAACTTGGACTTTTGCTCATGTGCATATTTTTTTGGAGGAGATATGGATTATTTGAAATTAAAAGCATACTAATTGGACCTTAATAAATCCTTTGCAGTCAGTGTTTGTCAATGTGTGGTTCTGGTCAGTGCTGTTTCTCTTGTTCCAGAGTCTTCCAGCTTGTGTTGCATGGTGCTTTCCCCTGTGACCTCCTTTATTTCCCTGCTTATTTTACTTATTTTACTGCTGAACTCTGAGGTGGAGAAACCATACAGATGTCCTCCAGCCCAGAATTGCTTTTTTTTTTTCAATCTGAGTAATAAGTCTTTCCAGTGTCCAAAAGATGATGGTTTATGTCCGATGAAAGGGTAACAATGTACTGGGACGGTGCTTTCCCTCAACAGGATAACTGTTAGAGGGAGTTTCTTTTTGAAAAACTGCGATTTTATAAAACCAACAACTTTATGAAAAACTCTCATTAGGTGTTTATAAAGTCACAGTGGTCTCTCTGCTTATCAATTTAATAACTAATGTATGTCTTCTAATTATGTGCCAGTTGTCTTTCCAGCGTATCACTGAAGTATTGGAAAAGGTAAAATATTTATTCAAGTAAATGTCCTAATGAATATTTGGAAGAAAATTCTGAACCTTTAAATTTAGGTGGATATAAGACTGTTAGAAATCAAATGTCTTTGAACTTTTCTTTACAAATTAGCCACCCCCTCACATATTCCCTTTTTTTTTA